GTAGGAAATTTACAAAATATCTTCATGGAACATGATCTTTACTTAATATCCTAAAGATTTTTGGCATAAAAGAAAAATGTATAATTTTGACCCATACAATGTATTGTTGGCTATTGCTACAAATATACCCCAGCGACTTAAGACTGTCACATTTTTGAGAATCACTTACTCTCACTTTGAACAATACCTACTGAAATCTTAATCTATTAATTGCCTTAAAATGCTCAGACATTCACAACTGCACTCATATATGTGTTAGACAACACTATAAATACAATACAGCTAGATCTAAATCTGGAGGAGCACTTCATTCTGCATGGTCATATTGGTTCTATCAGCACTAAAACTCTATAGTAAAATGCTAAGGCATTCATTGTAAAAAATATTACTTGGTATTTTTATCTTGTTTTCTAAACACACTTAATTCAAGATACGTTTACTTGGGAAAAAATGACTTGCGATAATTCTTGTTTTATAAAAAAAATAACCCAAAGTTTGTTAGTTTTATGCTGAATACGAGAAAAAATGTTTGTTAGTGGGGTAATAAACAATCTTAATTTAGTGGGAAAACAGGATTATTTTTCTTGCCCCACTGGCAGCTATTTTTTCTCGTTTTAAGAAAAAAACGATTTCAACGATTTCTTTTTTTTTTTTTAAACAAGACTTAATATCTTGTTGTTTTGCTTCTCAAGCAAATGCATCTTGATTTAATAATGTTTAGATGTATGTAATGGAAAACAAGACAAAAATACTAAGCAAGAAATTATTTTTTTGCATTGTTCTAGACATAACAGTATGACTTTCTGTAAAGCTGCTTTGAAACCATGTGTAAATACATTTGATTTGACTTGACAACAAGGACATTATATCATGATTGTGCCTTAAAAACTTGCCTGGCCAACTAGCAGTAAGCCAAGAGATAATTTAATGACTCAGAAATGTTATGAACCGTGTATAGACACAAATAGTGTGGCTTCTTGATAATGAAATGACTCAAAAATGTGTCCCTGTCTGTCAGTCAGAGCGTATCTTGTTTTAGTCTGTGATTGTGTCCCTTGATTTTGATGCACTATGAAGTGAATGTGTTTGAGGACACTAATAATCCTGGGTCTCAGCAGAGGAGTCTCACCCGGGGTCAATGCAGTCCTGGATGTCTGCGACCCACGAGTTCTTCTGCAGAGAGTCGATGGTCTCCAAAATGTATTCAGCACCATTTTCTACCTGCGATCCACAACACAGCATTGGTCTACGATCCACCAGGCAACATGCTTTTTCAAAGAAAAGTTACATGCATGACATGTACATGAGCATATGAGATGAAGGACTATCTAGAGTACCTTGAGCACGAATGTGTTGTCTTTATCGGGCATCTCTAGAGGCATGGTGGTCCTCACCTCCACGATAGCAGACAGAGGGACGCTCACTTTGGGTTTAGATGACTACAAACACAAATCAATGCCATTCAAACACACACACTGAACAGCATGCCACTCAGTGAGATATATATATACATACAGTGGTGGCCAAAATGAATAGAACACTGGTATTTTCACCAGCTAAAAAACTTAAAACAATCTTCACATAAACTATAAACTGCATATGCATAAACTACAAATGTAAACTTTTCAAGATTATCAATCTATTCAAGCTACAAAAGTTAATCAACGAGCAGAGCAGTGAACGACTTCTCTTTTTCTTTTGTTCTGATGCGCGTGACGTGAATCTGACAACACCTGATTTTCTCCCAACTTGTTACGGAAAGCCGCTAACTTCTCTTGTGCTTGATAGCGTGTTCATATAGTCTACTGTAACACTAGCCAGAGGATCCCGAGAAAAAAAATAGATGCTGCATTAATTGCATTAAATATTTGTAATGTGTTAAACTGAAAAAATGTATCACACAATTAACATGTTGATTTTGACAGCCCTAATATAGCTAGTTTAGAAACATC